TTTATGAGATTATTTTTCATTAAGTAAATTTTAGAAATAATTTTTTCTCACATAACTATAGCTTGAGAAGAGAGTAGAATACAGAGAAACATTAAACTGATAAAAAAAATTATTAAATCTTTTAGTGACTATTACTTAAAAAAAAGTTTAGGTTTAATCAGCATGTATTTCCATGTTCAGATTGAGTGAGGTAAGAAAAACCAGGTATATACTGTATTCCTTTATTCTTTTAAATCTTTTCAATATGCTAGGTAAGGATAAATATCCTTGCTTTCTGTATATTGAAATTTATGGACTGTTGTCAAGTAAAGGTTAAGTATTCTAAAGTTGATTAGATAAGGAAAGACCCTTCCTGTTTTAGGGTAGAGGAAGAGAAGAAATAAAGATAGTTACATACTAATTACTGGGAAAATACTCATATAATTGTATATCATGACTTAAGATTCTTTTCCCACAGTTTATCATGGGTAGGTGTTCCCTGAGGGTAAATATAGTTGAAATTTTCTCTGTGCATATTTACTAAAATGGTGACTTAGAAATAGCACATAACCAGTATATTAGTTATGTTTTCATAAAATGTAATACTACTTTTTATATGTGTCATTTAATGTATTTCCAAGTTTCAAGATGATTTTAAAGAATTACATTTTCCCTGTAAAAGCCACTTAGGATTTTTATGAGAAGCTTTAAGATTTGTCTAGCTCTAACCTCGGGTGTCATTTTAATTTCAGGTATTTTTTTCCTCACGCATTTGCAAGTACCCAGTAAGCCGTGTGTAAAAATTGTTACTATAATGGAGGAATACCTTTACTAGTTTATGAAACTGTAAGTTTTAGGGCTTTAAATAGAGTATGCTTTTTTTTTTCTCTTTTTTTTTATTAAGGTATCATTGATATACACTCTTATGAAGGTTTCACATGAAAAACAATATGGTTACTACATTCACTGATATTATCAAGTCCCCCCCCATACCCCATTGCAGTCACTGTCCATCACTGTAGTAAAATGCCACAGTCACTACTTGTCTTCTCTGTGCTACACTGTCTTCCCCATGATCCCCCCACACCAGGTATCTAATCATAATACCATTCAATCCCCTTCTCCCTCCCTCCCCACCCACCCTCCCCGACCTCTCCCCTCTGGTAACCGCTAGTCCCTTCTTGGAGTTTGTGAGTCTGCTGCTGTTTTGTTCCTTCAGTTTTGCTTCATTGTTATACTCCACAAATGAGGGAAATCATTTGCTATTTTTTTAAAATTCTTCATTAAGGTATTATTGAAATACACTCTTATGAAGGTTTCACGTGAAAAAACAATGTGGTTACTATGTTTTTCGTGGTTACTATGTTTACCCATATTATTAAGTCCCTACCCATACCCCAGTGCAGTCACTGTCCATCAAAATCATTTGGTATTTTGTCTTTCTCAGCCTAACTTATTTCACTGAGCATAATACCCTCTAGCTCCATCCATGTTGTTGCAAATGATAGGATTTGTTTCTTTCTTATGTCTAAATAGTATTCTATTATGTATATGTACCACCTCTTCTTTATCCATTCATCTACTCATGGACACTTAGGTTGCTTTCGTATCTTGGCTATTGTAAATAGTGCTGTGATAAACATCGGGGTGCATATGTCTTTTTGAATCTGAGAAGTTGTTTTCTTTGGGTAAATTCCTAGGAGTGCAATTCCCGGGTAAAATGGTATTTCTATTTTTAGTTTTTTGAGGAACCTCCATATTACTCCACAATGGTTGAACTAGTTTACATTCCCACCAGCAGTGTAAGAGGGTTCCCCTTTCCCTGCATCATCCTCGCCAGCATTTGTTGTTCTTAGTCTTTACCTTTGTGGCCATCCTAATTGGTGTGAGGTGATATCTTATTGTGGTTTTAATTTGCATTTCCCCGATAATTAGCCATGTGGAGCATCTTTTCATGTGCCTGTTGGCCATCTGAATTTCTTCTTTGGAGAAGTGTCTGTTCATATCCTCTGCCCATCTTTTAATAGGGTTATTTTCCTTTTGGGTGTTGAGACATGTGAGTTCTTTATATATTTTGGTTGTTAACCCCTTGTCACATATGTCATTTACAAATATATTCTCCCATACTGTAGGATGCCTTTTTGTTCTGCTGATGGTGTCCTTTGCTGTACAGAAGCTTTTTAGCTTGATGTACTACCATTTGTTCATTTTTGCTTTTGTTTCCCTTGGCTGAGGAGATGCGTTCAGGAAAAAGTTGCCCATGTTTATATTCAAGAGATTTTTTGCTCATGTTCATATTCAAGAGATCTTTGCCTATGTTTTCTTCTAAGAGTTTTATGGTTTCATGACTTAAATTCAGGTATTTGATCCATTTTGAGTTTACTTCTGTGTATGGGGTTAGACAATAATCCAGTTTCATTCTCTTGCATGTAGCTGTCCAGTTTAGAGTATGCATTTTTAACTATAAATTCACTTAATTATCTTGTGTTTTTTCCCCCAAAATTAAAAATAAAATGGAACATTTACTTTTACCCTTTTCAGTTACAAATATTGTTTGACTGTTACCATTAAAAATTTTTTATGTTTTTGAATTACAGTTTCATAGAAAGTATAATTGCTTATTTCACAGGATTTTTTGTATTGCACTTTACCATGCCAAGGCTGTTTTTTGTATTGAATAAAGTTGAAAGCACAAGTCTAGGCAGTAGTTGCTCCTTGAAAGCAGATCTTTGGATACGGAGAGTATTATGTTCATTTATGTAGCTTTCTTCTGATCTGAGTTTCCTGTCTTTTAGGCCTCCACACATTGTTTAAAGCTAACACTTCTCTTGCTTAGAAATCTTTCCTCTTTTAGCTTCAGTTAGTGTATTTTCCGTTTCTCTATTTCTTAAACAGAACAAAACATGCACTGTTAACATACCGCGCAATGCCACTAATCTTGCTTCTTGTGAGCCTTATTTATAAGTACCCCCACCACCTCTGCCAGATAGTCTGTTCTTTCTCTGGATTCATTCCCTTGGTGAACTCTTCCACACTCCTGCCTTCAACTGTACTTTTTTATAAGACTGATTTTCAAATCCTGGACTATTCTAAACCGCAATTTCTAACTGTTGTTGGGAAGCATCTTCATTTGAATTGTCTGTGGTAACAGTGGGCCTACTTACCAGAATAAAAGTCACTGCCTGCCACCACTGCAGGTTTCTTTCATGGTGTCCCTGATGAGTGAGAATCGTTCATTCTCTGCTGTCCTTATTCCTGTACTTAATTTAGCATGAGGTCCTCTTGTTTCTCCATTTAAGCTGTATCTTGGGTTTCCCATTCCCTCTGCATTTCCGCATCTTCACTATTCAAACCCTCATTATCTCACACCTATTCACTCTACTCACTTTCACACCACCCCATCTTACTTTTTTTTTAAACTTCCAAATGCCCCCTGAAGTGACTTTTTAAAACGTATACCAAGTAGTTGTTATATATTTTCCTTAAACAGATGGTAATTGTAAGAATTTTTATTTATACTTCCCTCTGGGCATAGCACTAAATGTAGTAGGAAATGGGTAAGTAGTTTTTCACTCTTTCATTCAGCAGCTATTTACCAAGTAGTTATTGGGTTCCAGGTACTATAATTGATCTCTCATGGAGCTTGCAGCTAAAAATAGTCTCTGGTGGTAAAGAAAGCCATCTCTGAGGAGTTGGTGTTTGTTATGAGAACTGAATGAAGAGAACCAGTCCTAAAAGTTAGTGGGAACAGTTTCTCTAGGCCGAGAGTACAGCAAGTATCAAGCCTTTGAAGAGGGACAAATTTGGTCTGTTTGGGGAATTTCAAAAAGGTCGGTGTGACTGGAACGTAGAGATTGGCAGGAGGTATGGTGAGGAGACCAGGTAACAGAGGGCCTGATAGGATGTGCTAAGTATTGAGGGTTTTATTCTAATAGATGGGAAAGCCACTGTGACAGTTTGGAGTAAGAGAGTGATGTGAGCTGATATACTTGTCACTGAGTTAAGGATAGAAGTAGGGATACTATAGTGGTAATACAGGAGAGCGGTATCTTCCACTAGTGAGGTAATGAGCAATAATAAGTGTTTTTGAATTAAGAACAGCGTGAGGAAGTACAGTTGGCAGTTGGCAGGATGTATTGGTTGGGAATTGTGAGATGAAAACGGAACCAAGAAAAATTCATTTCTGTGTGCTTGGACAAATCCTCTGTAACATCTATTTTCACTTGAGTGTATAAGAAATATTTCAGTTCCACTTCTTTGAAGGACTTAGGAGGATCTGATGAAATAATATGTGAAATCTCATGAATCGTACAACACTGTAACTCTGTCTTACTTTTTAACACTAAGCATTTAAAAGTTTACCTTAAAAACTTACTTTCTTACCTTAAGAAATTCCTAAAAGCTCAGGTTTTATAGGGATATGGACTCTAAGCCATATATAGTTTAGGAAATAGTTTAATTTATAACTTTCCTTGGGATTATAGTGTATAGTTCCTTCCAAATGATATTTCAATCTGTAATAGATTTGTCACTATTCATAAGGATTAACATGAGACAGTTTCTCCTGTTAATATTAAGTAGGTCACATTGTGGTTACAAACTGAGCTTCTAATCTAATCATAGAAAAAGGTATCTCTAAACAATACCTTTCACTTACAGTATATTTACTGATTCTCTTCTTAGTAAATATTTGAAAACAAAACTGACCCAAATGGCCTGTAGTTTTTTACTAACATAGTTATGTTAACCCTGGGATGTTGCTGACTATAAACAAAACATAATCTGATATGATATAATAATGACCTATAGATAATAATATGATGATAATAATGACCTATAGATAATCTCTATGTGTTTTACGTTTACTTGTGTCATGCCAATCGTACTTTTCCTGACACCTTTAGGTTAATTTAAATATGACATGGTATCAAGAAAAGACAAAAATTCTAGACAGACATTTTAGTTTCTGAAGTTTCTTAAGTATGACTGAGCTGAATGCTATTTCTGTTTTCCTATTGCAGATTTCCCAACAGTGATGTCACAAGATTGACCACATTGATCACAGTAAGACCAATAATTAAGCTTTTAAGGATGTTTTGTTTTCTCTGAGAATGAGAATTGAGTTAGAAAGTGTTTATAATTTAAAGTTATTATTACTTTCAGCAGCCAAATGAATGTTTACATTTTCAATGGATCACATCTCACACTTCAGTTAGTTGTTTAAGTATCTTTTTAAATGCTTTAAAATGACTTTTGGATTTATAATTGAAGTTATATTCCTAATTATATTAACATAATGTCAGTGTAAATCATAAACTGAACATAATCTTAATTTTTAGTTTTTGTTTTTACTATATAATGGCAAAACATGTAAGGTGACTCACTAGGGAAAACTTATGAAAATAAAATTACTTGAGACTGTAATCATTTATTAAGGAAGGACTGTGGAAATAGCCCTGAAAGGATTCTTAGCCTTCTTGCTTAAATTTTTCATTGGTATTTAAATGATTCATAAAGTCTTCCAAATATGGAAAGTTGTTGAAAAAGGATAGTTCTCTTACATAGCTAATGCTCTTCCTCTTTAATTTTAAGTGTTTATTTCTACTATGTAGAAGGAAATGTTACCTAAAGGAAAACTTTATCAGAGGCTTTGATCCATATTGTTATAAAATTCTAACTAGGAAAACCTGAGTTACAGTAATGAAATTTTACAGTGTTTCTGAAAATCCTTTTAAATAACAGAGAAATAAATTTAGAGTAAATTATTTACTCAATGAATCTACTTCCTTAATCCTGTTTTAATTATTAATTAAGTAGAGACGCAGTTATCAGAAACGTAAATCCATATATAGATAATCTTTGTATTTATGTCACAAAATTTTTTTGGAAAACTGGTTCATTTGTTAAGTTTAACATTTTTCAGAGGTCAGTGAAAGCTCTTACTGTATTTTTTAAGGCTTTAATCTTTGAGTCTACAGATGTTTGTGGCATGTTTGTTCATTTTTCTAAGAGAGCATTTTAACTATCTCTGATTTGTAGCTGTTGCTTTTGTTTTTTTCTTAATCAGAACTTTATTGCCCTAACTGAATAATTTACAACAAAATGTTAACATATTTCTTTAGTAACCTTCTATTTAGCATCTAATGCTTTACAATCAGAGAAGTTAAAATTAGCATTGTACAGTATATTTTTTTTTACTAAGTTATCATTGATATACACTCTTACGAAGGTTTCACAAGAAAACAATGTGGTCACTGCATTCACCCATATTATCGAATCCCCCCCCATACCCTATTGCAGCCACTGTCCATCAGTGTAGTAAGATGCCACAGAGTCACTACTTGTCTTCTCGGTGCTACACTGTCTTCCCCATCACTGCCCCACACCGTGTGTATGAATCATAATACCCCTCAATCCCCTTCTCCATCCCTCCCCACCCACCCTCCCCTGCCCCTCCCCTTTGGTAACAACTAGTCCCTTCTTGGAGTCTCTCACAGTACATTTTAAAGTAATATTAAGAGAGTATTTAATTGCACCTGTTATAAATTTAAGAATTTCAGGAAGAGAGGTGGTATTCAATATTATCAAGTGTTAAATAAGTTAAAGACTAAGAAGTAGTCATTTGAGAGGTTCCTAAGTAACTGATAATAGAAACTCTTACTTTGTAAGAATGTCGGTGTGTGAGGCTTTCTCCAGCCCCTTGAGTCAGGATGAGAGGGGAGGGTTCAAGTGTTGACCATGGGGCTAGAACGGAGTGAAACCAGAGAAAGGCTGATACATTCAGAGAAATTGGAAAGGTTAAGGGACTAGTCAGAGCCAAATAAGCTGATAAAACGAGATGATAAAGTAAAAGAGTATAATGTTGTGGTTAGAGAGGAAGATACTATAGATTGCTTCAGAGCTAAAGCTGTAATGAGTATTTATGTATTAGATAATTATACACCTTATATATTCCTTTTACTCAGAAATTTTCAGAACTCAGGAGAATTTCTATTTTTCCCCCTATGTTACAATCCATACAATCCAAGAAAAAATGTCAAGAAATGTCAAAATTATCTAACTAATCTCCCTTCATTCTGGCCATCATCAATTCCTTTGAAGCCTCTACATAATCCTGGGCTTAATCTTACTAAAGCATTGCTCTGATTCTTTTATTTCTCTGCTTGAAGATGTTTAGTGACTTCCCATTTCCTGCAAGATCAATTCCAGACTTCTCACTTGGTTTTTAAGATTCCTCCTCAGCTTGTCTCTAACGTATTTCCCAGCTATTACAAGTGTCCTACTATTTAAGAGGAATGCTGCACTCTACCCAGTGTGGACTACATACACCACCTTGAATATACATTTGGGCTCCATGCTTACATTCATGTTATTCTGTAAGTTCCAATAAGAAAGCTAAGTTTGCTCTATTGATATAATATGCTATTATTTGGGGAAAGGGGGTCAGACCTCACTAGATACTAGCTTAAAAGGTCAGAATAAACTTCAGAACCATTAGGATTGTGCTACATTCCTTTTATATAACAGATGAGAAAACCAAGGTCCAGAGAGTTTGAAGGGAGGTAATATATGCATAATGGGTAAGAACATGAACTGGGGTCAGAAAAGCCTTTAAGTTTGTGCTCTGCTATTTATATAGCTGTTGTGATCTTGAGTCAATTACATAGTCTAAGATCCAGTTTTTCCCTCTCTAAAGCAGAGGTGATATTTGTATCAAAGGACTGTTGTGAATATTAAATGATATAATGCTTATATAAAGCACAGCACAGAGGCTGTTAGATTCTAAAATCTGTTGACCCTATGTCATAGTTATCCTCCTCATCATCTATAAAGTTACTTACCCAGAGCCACATACTATGAGATCTTGGCCTCAACCTGGTATTGCTGTATTCCATGATAATTTTTACTATTCTCTTTCATGGTCACCCCTTACTTGAGTAAAAATCTCTAACCAACATTTATAGGAAGTATGATAAAATAACATGGGTTTTTTTTCTTCTCAAATCTCCCCAAATGCTGTCTTCTCCGAGTGTATTCATGCAATTTCACTTACATGTAGTTTTGCTTATATGCCATTTCATTAATACAGTGTATATCTTTTATTTTTGAATATTCTCACTTAATATCTTACTACATATTTAATGATCTGGTACAAAGCAACTTTTAAAATAATTCAAGTGGCTTTTTCTGTTTTTATTAGAATTCCTTTTTATACCTTGGTAATTTTGCATATTACTTTAATTTTACAGAGATTAATCTCTACCAATAGAAATATTTAACTTAAAAATTGAAATTTAGAAAGAATTAATACAGAGTTTCACATCTTATACACTATTTGAAATATTGATGTTAGATAGTACATTTTAAAATGTAGCTTAGGTACCTGTTACAGATAAGATATAACCAAGTGTGGCCATGACAGATAGTTGTTTCCTAATATCGATTTTCCACCTCGTTTAACTTTTCTCCCAGTGTATCACTACCTGGAATAAAAATATCATTTTCCAGCTTCCATCGCATCTAGCTGTGGTCATGTGACCACGTGTTTTGGTAAGAGATAAGTAAATGTACTGTATGTAACTTTCAGAAAGTATCCCTAAAGGAAGAGGAGCACCCCCTCTTTTTTCCCCGCTTCCTCCTTTCTGGCTGAAATATGGTCATAGTATTTGGACAGTGAGTGGAAATCACAAGAGTCAGCAAAGCAGTAAGATAGAAAGTCCCTAATAACTTCACCGTGTCATCCTGTCCACACTGGCCTGTCTACATCTGGACTTCTTTGACGTGACAGAGATAAATATATCTTGTAAACCACTGGGTTTGGGGCGTTCTGTCACTTAATGGCCAAAACTAATGCTGATATATGATGATAATTTGACAAAGTTTATGCCATTGTTAAAATGTCTTTGATTTGTTTACTTTTCACTTATTTTTCTTGAACTCTGCTGTCACTTTAGATGGCTTGAATTTTAGGAGAAGAGTAGAAAAGGGGATTGTTTACTCTGTCTAGGAGAGAAGATTAGGGGAACCTGTATAGGGAAAGGAGACATCTTGGCTAGATTTTTGAAGTATGAATTAGAAGAGCATCCAGGAAGAGGAAATAGGCCTATAGATTGGAAAGAACATATGTTCATAGACATGCAAATATTTTAGTCCAATATTGTTGAAATGTAAAATTTGAGGAAGCAAATGAGCCTAAAGGTCAGATCTTGTAAGAATTTACAAATAAAGAAGTTGGTAAGTGCAAGGTAACAAGGAAAGAGTTCTTTAAGTATGAATCATTTTAATATAATATATCTTTTTACACTATTTTTTTAATTGAAGTATCGTTGTTATACAATCTTACATTGGTTTCAAATGTACAATGCAGTAATTCAAGTTGCCTATATTATTAAATCCTCATCCCCTCCAGTGCTGTTACTATCTACAGCGTAGAAAGATGTTAGAGCATCATTGACTGTATTCTCCATGCTGTACTGCTGTCCCCATGACCAACCTATATTGTGATCGTGAATTGTTGTGCTCTCCCCCACAGCCTGCCCCAGTCCTTCCCCCTTGGTAACCTCTAGTCCCTTCTCAGTGTCTATGAGTCTACTGCTGTTTTGTTCCTTCTGTATTGCTTTGTTTTTGTATTCCACAAATAAGTGAAAGATATAGTATTTGTCTTTCTCTGCCTGGCTTATTACACTGAGCACAATACCCTCTAGATTGATCCATGTTATTGCAAATAACAGAATTTCTTTTCTTTTTATGGCTGAATAATATTCCATTGTGTATATGTATCACATCTTCTTTATCAATTCATCTCTTGATGGACCCTTAGATTGTTTCCATATCTTGGCTATTGCAGATAGTGTGGCAGTAAACCTAGGGATGCATGTATCTTTTCAAGTCAGGGATTTTGTTTTCTTCAGGTAAATTCCTAGGAGTAGAATTCCTGGGTCAAATGGTATTTCTATTTTTAGTTTTTTAAAGAACCTCCATACTGCTTTCCACAGCAGTTGCACCAATTTACATTCCCACCAACAGTGTAGGAGGGTTCCCATTTCTCTGCATCCTTGCCAGCA